CTGTAATCCCATGCCTTTGGGAGGCTGAGGTGAGTGGATTGCCTGAGCCCATGGGTTTGAGACCCCGCCTGGGCAGTGAGATCTCATCTCTACAACAAATCAAAAAATCAGCCGGGCGTGGCAGCACATGCCTGTAATTCTGGCTACTTGGAAGGCTGAGGAGGAAGAATCGCCGGAGCCCAGCAGGTCGAGGCTGCGGTGGCCGGGAGCAGCCACTGCACTCCAGTCTGGGTGACAGAGTGAGACTCCAACTCAAAAAAAACCCAAAAAACAAAAAATATAAAGATGGAACTATATGCTGTCTACAAGAAACTCACTTTAGATTTAAGGACACACAGACTGAAAATGAAAAAGGATGGTAAAATATATTCTAAGAGTTGTTTGTTTTGGATCAACAATACTGATAAACACTTAGCTAAACTAAGAAAAAATCAAGAGACAGGGGGGCCATAATTATATCAGGCAACATAGACTTTAAGTAAACATATGTGTGTGTATGTGTGTATAACATAATATAAGGCACAGAAGGACATTATGTAATAATAAAAGGGTCAATTCACCAGTAAGATATAACAATTAGAAATATATATGCACTTAGCATCTGAATCAAATATATGAAACAGACTTTGACAACTGAAGGGAAAAATAATAATACAGTGATAGGAGATATCAATATCCCACTTTCAATAATTGGTATAACAGTAGGGCAAAGGAACAGTAAGTAAACAGAGGACTTGAGTGATTTTATAGACTGGGCATAACAGATATATACAGAACATTAAACCAACAGAAACAGAATACACATTCTTCTCAAGTACATATGGAACATTCTCCAGGATAGATCAAATGTCAGGTCAGAAAACAAGTCTTAACAAACTAAGGAAAATTGAAATCATACCAAGTATCTTTTCTGATCATAATGGAGTGAAACAAGAAATAATAGCAGAAGGAAAACTGGAAAATTCACAAATATGTTGAAATTAACAACATACTCCTGAACAACCAATGGTTTAAAGAAGACGCCAAAGGAAAATTTGGAAATATCTTGAGAAAATAAACAAACAAAACTGCAGCATACCGAAACTTACAGGATGCAGCAAAAATAGTACTAAGATGAAGTTTACAGCAGTGAATACCTACATTAAAAAAGAATATCTCAAATAAACAACTTAACTCTATACCTCAGGAACTAAAAAAAAAAAGAAGAAATCAAGCCCAAAGTTAGCAGAAGGGATGAAATAATAAGGAATAGAGCAGAAATAAACAAAATAGAGAATAGAAAAACAATAGTAAAAGATCAGTAAAATTTCTAAAAGATCAAAAAAATCAACAAAACTTTAGCTAAACGAAGAAAAAAGAAGACACAAGTAAACAAAATTAGAAATGAAAGACAAGATATTACAACTGATGTCACAGAAATGGAGGATCATAAGAGCCCATTATGAACAATTACATGCAAAAAACTTGAATAACCTAAAGGAAATGGGTTAATTCCTAGAAATGTAAAACCTACCAAGACTGAATCATGAAGAAATGAAAAATGTGAATTGACCTATAACTAATAAGGAGATAGAATCCGTAATCAAAAACCTCCCAACAGAGAGAAACCCAGGATAAAATGGCATAAGTGGAGAATTCTATCAAACATTTAAAAGAAGAATTAATACCAATGTTTCTCAAGCTCTTCCAAAAAATTGAAGAAGAGGGAATACTTCCAAATTTATTTTATGATGCCAACATCACTCTGATACCAAAGCCATAGGCATTACAAGAAAAGAAAACTGTAGGCCATTATCCCTGATGAACATGGATATAAAAATCCTCAAGAAAACACTGGCAAAGCTGATTTAACAGCACGTTGAAAGGATCATACACCATGACCAACTGGAATTTATTTCTGGGATGCAAAGATCAAGAACAAAGGATTTTTAGAAATCATAGTATCATTTCAATGGTTGCAGAAAAAGCATTTGAGAAAATTCAACCTCATTTTATTATTAAAAACACTCATAAAACCAGGAATAGAAAAAAATTACCTAAAGAAGGAAATATTCTATAGAAGAAATAGAGGGAAATAAATACCAGATAAAAGACATGGTAACCCCTGTCTCTTGATTTTTTCTTAGTTTAGCTAAGTGTTTATCAGTATTGTTGATCCAAAGAAAAGTCCTATAGAATATATGTACAAAAAATGAGAAAGGAATCAAAGCACATCACTGCAAGACATGAACAATATACAAAGGAAGACAGCAGTAGAGGAAAAGAGGGACAAAGAGGGCTACAAAACAGAAAACAAAGCTCAAAGCTAACATACTCAAAAGTAGACAATTCAAAGTGTTTTCACTAAGATCAGGAAAAAGGCGAGGTTACCCACTCTTACTACCTTTGTTTAACATGGTACTGGAAGTCTTAGCTAGAGCTATTAGAAGAGAAAGATAAATGAAAGCATTACAATTGGAAAAGAAATTGTAAGATCTGTCTGCAGATAACATGATCTTATATGTAGAAAACCCGAAGGATTACACATATACACACACATGCACACCCACACACATACATTCACACATACAAACTGTTAGAACTAATAAAACATTCAGCAAACTTGCCAGTTTTAAAATCAACATACAAAAATCAGTAGTGTTTGCCTACACACAAAATGAACAATCTGGAAAGGAAATAAAACAATTCCATTTAAAATAGCATCAAAAAGAATAAAATACTTAGAAATTAACTTAAAAGAGGTGAAAGACATACTCTATAAACTATAAAACGCTGCTGAAAGAAATTGAAAAAGACACAGATAAATGTAAAGACATATCATGTTTATGAGTTGAAAACCTAAGGTCATCAAAATGTCCATGCTTCCCAAAGCAACCCAGTTATGATCTTGTCATAAACTTGATACCCGTGTCTGTCTCCTTGATATCAATGTGTATTTCATAGCTGTAGTTATATCATTCACTATCCTGAACACTTAAGAATAAATCTAGTCAGTTCTCAAAGTATTCTTCTTTTGAATTTGCTCTCCAGTTAGTTTAGATGATGATTTTATTTGCCTTTTTGACTCCATATTGATTTTACCACATTGATTAAAAAAGAAAAAACCACTAAGCTACAAACGTCTTAGGACTTGATCTGTCTCAGACACCTCTGTGTCCCTGGAGTCCAAAGCAGTGTCAGGCATGTAATAGATATACAGCAAATATTTTTTGAATGAATGCATTCATGCAAGTCCAAATATTTACATAAACCTAATTTGGATTTTCTTTATTTTGTATTGGACTTTTAAAAATCATTTGAGGCCGGGCTCAGTGGACTCAGCATGTAATCCCAGCACTTTGGGAGGCCAAGGCGAGTGGACTGCTTGAGCCCGTGGATTCGAGACCAGTCCGGGCAACTTGGCGAGATATCGTCCCTACAATAAATCAAAAATTAGCTGGGCATGGTAACACGTGCCTGTAGTTCTGGCTCCTTGGAAGGCTGAGGCGGAAGGATCTCAGGAGCCCAGCAGGTCGACGCTGGGGTGGCTATGAGTATGCCACTGTACTCCATCCAGCCTAGGCAATGGAGTGAGATTCCAACTCAAAAAGAAAAAACAAAGCATTTGACTTTAAATTTGGATTTTCTATCTTAAAAGAAAAAAGCCAGAAACTTTGTTTTTAAAGAAGGTATTTAATGGTGCTTAATCTTCTTTTTTTTGCTTTTGCTTTCCTATAAAAAGTACTAAATATCTTCTCTGTTTCTCTTTAAAACTCCTGAAGTTCTGTATCCCCTGAGAATCTTTCTCTGAGGCAAATATTGAAATGATTATACACATTTAACTGAAATATCAGATTTTTCTTATATCTTGATTAAAGCTTAGTGTTTTCTATATTTTAGGTCCCAATGTTATATGATAGTAGTCATTCTCAATGAGAAAGGGAAAAAAGGACTGCCAATAATTGATTCAGGATCAATTAATAGATATTTAGACAATTAGACTGTTAGACAATCTTTTATATATATATTAGAGACAGGTCTTTCTATGTTGCCCAGGTTGGTCTTGAACTCCTGTGCTCAAGCAATCCTCCCATCTCAGCCTCCCAAAGTGCTCGGATTACAGGAGTGAGCTACCACACCCAGCCTAATGTTAGATAGAATTGATTGGAACAAACTTGTTATCCCTTATTGTTCAATGAGCAAGCACTTCAGCTAATGTAGTAATAATATAAATGTAGGTCTTTGTTACTGCTTAGTCTTATCTTCATTATATTTTGGCAAGTCTGTAAGTACCTAGATGGGATGGGAAGCATGGCTATTTAGTTCGTATTTTACCTAGCAAAGTGCACTAAAAACATTTATACTGTTACTTAAAAAGATAGGAGGCTATGAAGTGACTTCAGTAGCAACATGAAAGTATTCTGATAATAAGAGAAAAGGTTGAATATAACATTGCACATCACATTGCTCTTACAACTTAATTAAGATGTATTTAGGCCAGGCTCGGAGGCTTATCCTATAATCCCAGCACTTTGGGAAGCCAAGGCGAGTGGACTGCCTGAGCCCGTGGGTTCGAGACCAGGCCGGGCAACTTGGCAAGACCTCGTCTCTATAATTAAAAAAAAAAAAATTAACCAGGCATGGTAGTGTGCACCTGTAGTTATGACTACTTGGAAGGCTGAAGTGGAAGGATCGCCAGAGCCCAACAGATTGATGCTGGGGTGACTGTGAGTGTGTCACTGCACTCCAGCCTGGGTGACAGAGTGAGACTCCAACTCAAAAAAAAAAAAATGTATTTATAGAAAAAGATCAATAGAATATAAAGATTCTAGTGTTTGTACTAAGTCAATGAAATTTTATGTGCTGATTATTTTGTAAAATATCTCTAATTATGGATAGGTTATTTTCCAATTATGAAGAGTACCTGTAGCATCAATTTAGTTCATCAATCAGTGTATCTAATGGGTATGATTTCTGAAAAAATACATGATCATTTGAGTTTCTATCCCCCCTCTCCCCAGATCATCAAGTTATTGGATGGAAAACGATCTCAAACTGTGGGAATCTTGATATCCAGTTTACATTTAGAAATGAAGGATATCCAGCAGGGTAAGTCTTTTCTTTTACTCTTTTATAACTGTTTATTTTTTAAAAACATTTTATTGTGAAAAGTTTTAAACACATACAAAATTAGAATGCTATCATGAGTCTCATTGCCCAATACCCACCTACAAAACCACCAACTCATCTTGTTTCATCTAAAGCATCGTCTTTCCACCAATTTGATTATTATGAAGCAAATCTCAGATGATTCACAAGTCATCTGTTAAAAATATTAGTACTATTGCTAAAAGATAAGAAGGATACTTTTTCTAACAAACTCCAGTGCCTTTATCATGCATTTAAAAACTTTAACAATAGTTTCTCAGTATCATCACATAGATAGTTCTAATTTCCCTGGTTGTCTGTATACTCATTGATTCATCTGTTTTTTACAGTTTGTTTGAATGAGAATCAAAATAAATTTCATGCATTGCCTTTGATGTGTCTCTCAGGTTTCTTTTAATGTAGAGGTTTCTATTTTCTATTTTTTTTCTCCTTTGTAATTTATTTGTTGAACAAACCAGGTCATTTGTCCCATAGAGTTTCCCACATATTAGAGTTTGCTGGTTGTGTTGCCTGGTTTATTTATCATGTTCCTCTGTCCCCTGTTGTCTAAAAACTGTTCGTTTGATCTAGCGACTTAGTCTTAGTGGTAGAAGTATACCTCATAGATGCTATTGTATATTCTATCGATAAGTACAAAGCATCTGGTTGTCTGTATTAGTGGGCACTGATGATCTTTGCCTAGATTTCTTACTTTATTAGAAGTTTGCAAAATAATGATGTACTAATTCTATTATTTCTTCTTCACTAACTGGAATACTTCTGTAGAGAAACACTTTCCTTCGTCAATCATTTTTATGTCATTGTTTCTTAATCCTTTCTTTTTAAAATTTTTTCCAAATGACATTATGTCTACTTGCTTATCTTTGGCTCAATTTTAAATAAAAGGCATTTAAAGCGAAGAAAATTTTTATGTATATATTTTTCTTGATCTCTAGAAAAGTGGACCAAAAGCCATCATACCTTTTTGGAATCTGTGTCTTGCATGAAAACAATACTCTCCTTTCTCAGTAATCAATTAAATGTAAATCTTTATTTTGATATGTCACTTACAATATTTTCTGAGTGGTAATACAATCTCTCAGATGGTTTCAGGAGATTTAGCATGGGTTTAACAGTGGAAACTCTCTGAAACCATACTGCCCCTTATATTTTAGTTCATGTTGCTCAATTACTTGATTGCTATTTAGTAGATGATCTATAGGTCCAGACCTGCAAGACATTTAAGATACTTTCAAATGCTACTTTTCTTTTCAAAGGAGCTCTGTTAGAAACTTAAACTTTTGCTGTGTTGCAAAAGTTGAAATTTTGACAAAACAATGGGTACACATGAACATATAGAGTAAAATAATAGGCACTGGAAAATACACAAGGTGGGAGAGAGGGTGGGAGAGGGTGAGAGTTGAAAAATTACCTGCTGGGTACAGTGTTCACTGTTCACATGATAGGTACTTGAGAAGCCCAGATTTCACCATGTGCAGTACATACACATAAGAAATCTGCACTTATAATCCTAAATCTATTTTTTAAATCAACAAAAAACTAAAAATATCCTAAATTAAATTATAGAGAGTCACAGAGCATTTGAATAACTTTAAAAAAAAATATCTAAGCTCAGCCGGGCTCGGTGGCTCAGCCGGTAATCCCGCGCCTTTGAGAGGCTGAGGTGAGTGGATTGCCTGAGCCCGCGGGTTCGAGACCCGCCTGGGCAGCGAGACCTCATCTCTACAATAAATCAAAAAAATCAGCTGGACGTGGTAGCGCATGCCTGTAATTCCAGCTTCTCGGAAGGCTGAGGCGGAAGGATCGCCGGAGCCCAGCAGGTCGAGGCTGCGGTGGCCGGGAGCAGCTACTGCACTCCAGTCTGAGCGACAGAGTGAAACTCCAACTCAAAAACAAACAAACAAACAAAATCTAATCTCAATAGCAGAACCTAATACCTAAGTATGAATATTAAACCTCAGAAAATGCTGCAGTAGTTGATTTGCGTTTGAGGCAGCAGGTGGTTAACACCTGTCATTGAAGTTGGAACAGAATTCTTTTTTTTTTTTTAAGATGTGGAGTACAATTCAGGGTTAGGTATACAAATGGTCATTGTGTAGGTAAAGTTTGGGCCTTACTTTGTTCTCCACTTCACCTGGTTTGAAGTCAGGTACCCTTAATTATGTGTGCCCCCCTCCCCCGGCAGTTTCCCACTACTGCCAATTCCTTTCTTATAGTATTATGATAATTGTTCAGGGTCTGCTCACATGTGAGAACATGCGGTACTCAGTTCTTTGTTTCTGTGATAGATCACTCAGTATTATAGACTCTAAGTCCATGTAAGTTGCTGCGAAGTTCTTAATTTTGTTCTTCTTTATGACTGTGTACTATTCTATTGTGCATATGTACAGAATAGGATTCTTCAGTGGAGACTGTAAAGTTTGGAAGAATTACATTTCTGATAAATTCATATCAGGAGAATGTGATACTTGGGCAAAAAAAGGAAAAGCAAACCAAATCTTTGCAGGGGAGTTTATAAATTTTTGGTAAGGGACTAACATTTCTTGAGGCAGTTAGATAGGTATTCTTCAGGTATAGTAGAAGAGTCTTGTCCCAAACAACAATAATCTCCATGAGCCTCTCCAGTGTGCTTGATTTTATTACTACAACGTATGACACCTTCTGTGTGAGTTTTCACAATGTCACATCACCTTAGACTTTATTCAGTTTGTTTTAAGCATGTCTGATTGCCACATGGATGAGTCATTCCAGCCATGTCATAATCTAGTTACTAATTCAGTGCTTATAAACCGTCTTCCTATGGCATTCCAGCCTTGTTGGATTGTGTGTTTATAGTGAGGTAAAGAAGAGATTGGTTCATCTAGATCTTTTCCAGTATTTTACCCTGGACAAGAAAATGCTTACATGAAGCAGAAGTGAACTTTCATTTCAGCATTGGAAATGTCATTTGTGACATCACACCCTTCTAGGTGTTGTGGGCACTGTTTTACTTCTTCCTCCTTCCTCAGCACCTATGTGATCTACCACAGAGTTGGCTCCAAAGTTCTAAAAAATCATCTCCATTCCATTTCTTCATTTAGTAATGCACTCCAGATGAATATGGCATTATAACCAGAGGTTAATTTTTTTTTTTTAGAGTCATTGACTGACACTGGCATCTGAAGGTCATTAGGAGCCCAGGCTGTGTCAGTTATATTCCGAGTCTGGAATCTACTTGCCTTGTGTTGTCACCCTGGTGAAAGGACTCCCTGTGCTGATGTTGGCCTAAAAAGGTTTATTTTAATGTGAGGAGGGCCGCAGTCAAATATGATTGGAGAAGGCCCACTGGCAGCCAGGCAGAGTCTCACAGCAGATCAACCCTGGTAAAATGACCACAACTCAGAGGCTGTTCTTCAGCCTTCTGGTTATATATTCATCTTTAGCAGTACACAAAAGACCAGAGGCATTAACTTACACTTTTCAAACTCATGGGAAACTGATGTATAAACCAGAAATCTAGTATATTCACTTAGAGAGAAGAATATTTCTTTCTCATAACTAAAAAATTTATCGTATCTGTTTTCTCCATATCATTTGTCTGTTGTCTGTTGTTTTCTCCATATCATTTGTCTCTACCTGGCATTATATTTATATATTTTGTGTGCCATTTTCCTCACTAAAATGTCATTTGCATCACTGTCCCAGAGCACATAATAAATACTTGTTGGAATGAATGAACAAAGAGATTGATGAGATAGGTGAAGGAATGAATGCAAAGAAACAGACATAAACAGGTTTGGAAACAAAATATAGGACCTGATTCTTGGAAGGTGTACCATTCTGTTGATAGGAATAGAAGTATCTCTGGGCATTCTGGAGAGCTTCAAATATTCTATTTTTCTAAACGGCAATGACATTTCAATCTTACCTTGCTGAGATTATAGCTTTGTCACTTTGGTAACAGTTTTGGGGTTTTCGCTCTGGAATTACCTCCAACAAATGAATAATCTGGCTTTTACTGGTCCAACTCTTAAAGAGCAGGCCTTATTTTCCCATAAGGAATAAGGGGAGCACTTCTCTGTGGTCTACTAGGCATAGCCTATACTCTACATTCAGGAAGTGGAATTTTGGTGCTCTATACCCTAAGGTCTTACAAGTAATAGGTAGCATAACTGGTATTCATTCCATTATGCATTTCTTTACAAGAAATTTTGTGATAATCATCGTTTACAACTAATTAGGCTAATCTATCACATATAAACAGTCATATATTCAAATGTTTGTTGAATTTAGTTTAATTTTAAATATGTAGACTAAATATTAACTAGATAGAACCAGAATGTCATGTGTTCCATTCCAGTGAATTTGGACAAAACTAACTGCCTTCCTTCCTGCCTTCCATAAACATGTATTAAATATCAGCTTTGTATCAGGCACCATGACTACAACAACACATAAGATCAGACTCTAACATCCTTAGGAACTCCCAGGACAGTGTAAAATAATTCAAGATTATGTTACAGATGGCTATGAAATAACAGAGAGCACATCTTGTTTCTTCCTGTAAAATGTATGGTGAGTCTGAGAGGACAGAATAGAGGTCTTCGCACAGAGAAGCAGCTTTTCCAATTGAGGAAAAAGCATGAAACAGGACACGTGAAAAGGAGACACAAATAGAGCATATAGATTGCACGGGAATGTGGATTGATTCAAGGTACAAGGCTTGAAACACAAGCAGCATCTAGACCAAGAAGGCCTCTGAATATCATCACAAGAAAAGTGTAGGTTATTGCACCAGGAATGGGGAGAAGAAACTTAAGCGGCACAGTGCTGTGATCTGCTTTTGAGTTCAGCAGTACCTCTCAGACTGTTGTGTGGGAGGCTGGCCTCGCAGGCCTTGTGTGCTTTGGCCATACATGGATGTCTCCACTCAGCTCCACTCACTTTCTTGTCACTGCACT